GTGTGGGTGGGTGTTGGTGTGGGGTGTGTGGGGTGTGGGTGTGGGTGGGTGTGGGTGTGAATGTGGGTGAGTGTGAGTGTGGGTGAGTGTGGGTGCGGGTGGGTGGGTGTGGGGTGTGAGTGTGGGCGTGGGTGTGGGTGTTGGTGTGGGGTGTGGGTGTGGGTGTGGGTGTGAATGTGGGTGAGTGTGGGTGTGGGTGTGGGCGTGGGTGTGAGTGGGTGAATGTGGATGTAAGTGCGAGTTTTCTTCGTTTGTACCTTCTGACACTCACAGCGTACCCCACACCTACACCTATCTCACATCATAGACGCGCATACCCATATGAGAGTCAGAACCATCCCTCGGAAGCTCATTGCTTTTCAACTCACTTATTTCTTTGAGAGCGAAAAGTTCTCACCATCATCATAAGAAATGGATCAGTAGTCTGAAGCTTTCCTGGGTTGCTGGCGTCTTAATGGGTTCTCTAAAACTTTCGCTGTCGCTCCTGAATCTTTTTTCGGTGAAAAAGCTTTCACTCCCACTAACAGACATTCACCGTTCGGCGAAGCCTCTTGGCGCTGCGCACACCCTTGGTAGCCATTAAAAGCTTTTTTTTTCTTCCTGTCACGAATCGTTCTGTTTCCTTAAGTCTTTTAGCTGATACTCAGAGACGTTGGTTAGTAGCCTGAGGTGCATGCGGGTGTGGGTATGAAAGTCGATGGGTCTTGGGCATCTTGTGTTAGTTAAACTAAGTTGAACGAATACTCACCGAACATCCCACCCACACCCTCTTATTACGCAAAGACATCTGTGTGTTATTCTAGGGTTTCCGCCAGTACTCAATAGCATTTACTGGTTCTCTGAGATCTTTTCCTATGTCCCATGCGAATTGCCTTGCGGTTTGAAAGTTTTGCTGTAGTTTCGAGATATTGATGAATATCCGGAAGAGTTTTCGAGTATATTAGGGAATGGAAAGCTTTTGAAGCTTTTTTCCTTGTTTTCGGGACTTTATATATGATCCTGAAGTCTTCGCTCTCATTCATGAGCATTTCTTGAAGCGCGAAGCTTTTTGCTAATACTTCCATGCAGAACAGGGCTCTGAAGTTTTTTGATCTTCGCCTTATCGACTCCTCTATGATTCGAAGGTTTGCACTGCCAACCAAAGTCATTCGATAAGCACACTAGAGATTTTTGCGACTAGCTAGGCTAAAGTTTTTCGCAATTCCTCTCACACATTTCTCTGTGATCTAACAGTTGTTGCTATTTTTAAAATAGGTTCATCGATTGGCGGAAAATTACCGCGACTACCTTTAGACATGAATGAACTCCCCGTCGTGCAAGAAAATTCGCTCCGTCAAGGAAATGTACGGAAGGCTAGTTTGAAATTTTTCGTAGTGACTTCTTCAGGTACTTTGACTGATGAATGGGTAGAATGAAGATTTTTCGGCTCTATCTTATTATACATGATTCCAAATTTGTCGTCATCGAAGAAACACATTCATCGATTATCCGAAACTGTTTCCTGTAATGAACATATTTTGATAGGTCACATTACACTCTTTTTCTCTTTTTATTTATTTATTCGTCCGCGGGTCTAAGGATATTAATGCAAGCCTGAAGCGTCTAAATGTGACATGGTATCAACTACAGGCACGTAGTTGAATTGATAAGTGACTTGTCTTTTTTTATCTTCTTTTAACGCATAATTTTGTGGTACTTCACATTGTTCATGCTGACCTAGACATATTGATAGGCATACTAAGACTTTTTACCGAGCCGTCTCATCAGCTTAATGGAAATTTCAATATAGCGTCGTCATGCTCATAACTTCAATATCACTTAAAACTTTTCGTTGACATCCTGTTTAATGTCTGAGTCATCGCGACTCTTATTT